TTTTAACCTAAAATTTAAATAGCAAAGCTAAAATTTCAACACTTCCCTTAAAATCTCATATATGTAGATTTTTGAACTTACACCCTTGTATCTTTGGAATTTTCACATATTTTTGGATGATGTTGCCCGTTGCTTGGTGCTTGAACGTTTAGCGATTTAAACACGGTTTTAAACGCACATTGATTGGAATTTGCAAGTGTGATTTTGTTGCTTAAGCCAAACTAAACTACTGCTAAAACGGTAACTGATTGTGAGTGAGTGCCACAAGTGTTTTTTCTGGTGCTGAGGCTGCACTGCGAGCGTGGGAAACGGGCACGTCCATCAGCCACGAGATCTCATCTCGCACTGAACGGAGATGCGCTGGCCAACGACGCACGAGGCGCCGGCGACGTCGACGGCGGACGACTGCGCCCAGGATGTGGATGTTCCTGTGGAAAGTGCCAAAGGAGCGGGAGAAAGTCGGCAGGAGGATGGGTGGCAGCGGCGCTGGCAGCGCTGCCACTTGTTGTCTACTGCCTGTTGCAGCACATTCCCGTTATCCGTTCCGGCCCACTCTCCCACATAAATTTCTCCTCCTGCCTCCTGCATATTGATGAAAACTGCCAACGGCAATGATTCTGCTCAATTGCCTTCATTGTGTTGGGTCTCCATATACATTTATGTATGTGTATGTGCGTTGGGGTTCTCTTCTATTTGATTTTATTTTCGCTACGCCTGTAAGTATGCAACGCGTTTTGGGGTTGCCTGCCACATAGAAGGCACACGCATATTATGCCTAATTGATTTTCGCCTTCTAAGTGGCAACTCAATTTTTGGTGACAAGAAAAAGCATGTTCAATGGTTTTCGCGTTTAGCGAAAGTCAAATTTTAAAAGACTTAAAGGCAAGCCAAATGGGGAGTATATTTCATTCTGGGAAATTTACACAAAACTAAACACGTGAACAAAATAGTTGGTTTTAAAAACCTTACAATTTAAAGAATATTTAAAGTCATAGCAATTTATATCGGTATTATTTTATTTAAATAATATTGAAACAATTATACACAAACATTAATAAATTGCATTTGTATTATGTTTTCATGTATATTTATTTTAACATTAAAAATTTTTTAAGTAAATACTTCTCATTAAATACAAGTAACTTTAACAAATTTAAAAATATATTTTAAAAACTTCCTATTCCCAAGTTTTAAGGTTGTATAATATCCATAGAACGCGCTGTTTTGATTACCATCTTTAAGACATGTGACTTTTATTTTCAATATGTTACTCATTCGTTCTTAAGCATAACGAGGTCACAATTTAGCGTTTTCTTGTTAAACCAAGGTGTAACAGGTGTGTTGAATATCCTCCAGGACATTGGCCTTAGGGTAAATGTGAAGCTAAACGTGTTTATGCACTAATTTAACCAATTTCCTGTGAACATTTTTTTTTTGCCGGCAGGCAGGTTGTGAACACTGAAACCACCTGATGGATTTTCGAGGTGAACCTGAACGATTCCACTTACTCATAGGTCTTTTCAATTAATCCATTTAAGCTGTTGTAATTTTATGCAGCTAGCCGGATAAGACACGCGACAAAAACAAAATTCAGATAAAGATGCGGATGCGGAGATACAAAGACCGCAGCGATTGGAAAACGACACGCGACTGAATCGAAGATTGCGAAAGAGGCAGAAACCGAAGTCAGAGGACGGGCCCAGAAATATTTATAGGCATTGAAGATGATGGTGTAGACTTGCGATCACGTTTACGGTCTCGAATTTGCATATAGAAGTCGAGATATTAAACCTGGTATCCAAAGCAAAACGAAAAACAATGTGAGGAGTGGATGGCAATTTAAAAACATAAAGAGATTGACCGGCTGAAGCGGTCAGAAATGAGGAGAGGGATGTCTTTGGTTTAGGTTTATCAAGAAACCAAACTTTAAGAGGCTTTACCATCTGGAAACCAATTGGCGGTTTTAAATTGGAAATAATATGGTAATTTATGTAGACCAATGTGTTATGGATATAAAAATAGTCTTCGATGCGATGCGAAGTTAAGCAACTATTTAAGACAAGTTTCTTGGATAATTTTTTAGTTTATATGGTAGAAATATAAAGATAATTGGCTGCATAGAAAACTTCGCAGGCTTTAATTATATTGTGGTAATTAGTGCCTTCAAATATAGTATAAAAAAAATCTTAAATTGTTAAATTTTTTGGAATGAAATTTATGTGTTTCATAGAATAATAACACAAATAATTATTTTTTTTAAAAACTATATGTTTCTGAAAATAGTTGTATTATTTTCAACAAACATATTTACTCAAATAATTCATATTTTAATGGAAATCCGTAAACGAAGACACTAAGACATTTTAGACTTAAATAAAACTAAAACCAAATAGAAACCAACCACTCACAAATCGATTTCAAACACATGCTTTGTGTAAAACTCTTCAATCGGGAAAATCGGGGGAAAATAGCATCGGCGGTCAAACAACAATGGAGCCATAAAAAAAGGTGGTGAATTTCATTGAAGTGTTAAAGTGGCGACGTCAAAATAACTTCAAAGTTAATGGACTAGAAATCGACCAGGACTGATGGCATTAAATAATACAATAAATGCAGAAATGCTTTTGCCAGAGGATTAAAAGGGGCTAAAAAGGCCCATTTCGGTTTTCGAGCCTGACAAATTGAATTTGCCACATATAACAGCTTAACTTCATATGCTGGGGGCTTAAATCGATGACAAATGTGGCTCAACAACTGATGCGGGTCATTCCGATGAAAATCTCTGGCTCTGTGGTCAAGTTTTTATCACGATCGAAAAGAAAACAGAGGGAAAAGTGGAAACCGGAAAACCCATTCGGCCGCAAATGTTTAATTTCCCTTTGTTTGAAATGCTACACACAATCCTCGAGCTTGAGCTGTCATTAGCATTTGCGAAATCTATTTAAAAGGACGAGTGCCAGTATGGCCCAGCCAAAGTTCAAATGTCACCCGACTCGTGTGAGTATGCCTGTGTTGGAGATATTTTTCCATTTCCCCAGGGGCAGGGGATGATACTGGAGGGTCCTGTGGGGGTGTCGCATATTTGGTGGCATTCAATTGGAATATCAACACGTGCCACATCATCTTCAGCAGCTTCGGATTCAGAGCGGCTTTAGCTCCTGCTTTCGCATAGTTGTGTTCGCCTTTTCCGCTCGGCATTTGTCTTAGTGGAGAATGAGCCCGACTTCATTAGGAAATTCCACAAATATTTTGAATTTATTATTGCGTTTTTATATTGCAGCGAAATGAATAGACGCCGACAATGCTGAAGGGGTTTTTCGTTCTTTGTCAGTGAAAGTGAATTGTTCACCGATGAGTTTAAAGAATTTTAACTTAAGTATAAAGACACTTAGTGGTTTTATATTATTAAATACCTACTTAAGCTGTCAAAAATATATATATAATGTTCCCGCTTTGCACTCCGATTAAATTGGTTCAGCTTCAGCTAAATAATAACCTGGCAATGCCAATTTTAACCTCTTCTTTGAACATATATTATAATTGTCAATACGTCCTGACACGCTTAACCTATGTAATTATTTACATTAATTTTGCAGCAAAAGTGTTTAGAATAGAGGAATAATAGTGTCCAAAGCTATAAAATATTAATCAAATAATTGTACATATTTCATGCGCATTATGAAAACAAATATCTTTTTGATATACAACACATTCTGAAATCAAGATCATTAATTTTTTTCTTGTTTTAAACTAAGAAACATTTAAAATGATGAAAAAAAATATCTTTCGCCCAACGTGGGGCTCGAACCCACGACCCTGAGATTAAGAGTCTCATGCTCTACCGACTGAGCTAGCCGGGCACTTGCACACCTCCCCGCAGAAAATATCTGAAGAATACGCTACAATCTAAAGAATTTTCCAAAATGTGATAAATGGGAATGTTTCTAAAAATACTGAAGCTATTGGTGGTATTAAGAAATTTTAGGATATAAAACTATTATAAGAAAATGGAGATATATTTTTAACTTAGCTAAATATTTTTTTGGATATTTGTGGTTAGGCCATAACATATTTGTGCATTGAATTGTATTGTATTTAAATTTTAAACTTATTTAAGATCCTTCACTTTTAGGATTTACTTTTGCTCCGATTAAGCGGAATTAAGCCAGGGCAGAACGAATAAAAGAAAAATTAATTTAATGTGCTTTAAGCCATTTATTTCACTTAGAGCAACTAGCATATAAACGAGACGGAGGACGAGTCCTGCGCAGTGTCCGAAAAGGGGGTGTGGCCAAGGACGACCAATCGTGTGGCTCGGATAATACGCATTACTTTTATCCGCCAGTCAGAGGAAGAGCCCGAAGTGGAAGGATGCTGTGGAAGTCACTCGGCTTTTTCACTTGTTGCTCGTCAAGTGAGCAGGGGAAAACCCCGAGGAAAAGCGTGAAAATTGATAATAAACGCACTTCGCACGTACACACACTCGCACGAGCATTTAAGGGCTGTGGTGGCATAGAACACTTCTAGTCACATTTATTGCCAGCTTTTATTTTATGCTTTTGATTTATGGCGCGGCTTTTACACTTAGGAAATTGTCAGAAAGAGAAGTTTTCGGCCAGCTGTAATATCATAATCATTCACTATTGTAGGGCCAAGAAACCACAGTATACTTTCAGGCCTTGCACAGAAAATTAGTACCACTTTAAAGATTAACTAGGTTATAATCTGGAAACCATGCAAAATCCGTTAAAAGCATGTCAGAAAAGTAAGTTTATTATTAATTTGCACTCTCTTTTTCTCACCATCTGTCTTCTTAGTCAGCTCCTTAGACATTGACCAATTGCCCGTCCATTAATTCTGCTTCCTTAAAAGCCTTTTCCTCTTGAGTATCCTTTTGGATTGCCACGTTTCTGGTCTCCCACCCCGTGCCTATCTACTTAATTGCATTTTTATTTGCCTGTTGCTCAGCCACAATACACAACAAATACAAGCGGAATGGATTTTGTGGCGCTTTAAGTAAATAATACAGTTTTTATTACCTCCATCGAATTGTACAGATAACGCGAGCCAGTTTAAGTACTTAAGTACACTCGACGCAATTAATCGTAGATTACGTAATAATAAAAACTTAAGAGCTAAGCCTAAGCGTTTTTTGTTTTGTTTACAAGCAACAACGGAATTTGCCTAGCTTAAACAAACATTGCGATAAAAATCAATTAACATTAAACATTTCAACCAAGCGACTTATGATGTGTATAGTACAACAGAGTATTTTCACTACATAACTAAGCCTACCAAAATTGCACACAAGCAAACCCTATGAACTAGGACTACAACTAGGCTAATTGGCCACACTAACAAACACCGAATGGGCGACGATTGTGTTTCGGGTACCACTACGCATCGTAGATCTTCAGATTGTCAAACTCATCGAGCGTGTCCTCCGACCCAGATGCGGTCAGATCCGACAGCTCATCGAGGCACTTCTGCCGCTTGCGCACATTCCAGTGCAGACCTTCGGCGAGGGAGTCGAACCAGTCGGAGATTTGATCCTGGGCACAGATGCTGGGCACGGGATAAATGGAGGTGGTCACCCGCAGGCTGTCGCCGTGGTTCAGCTCCTGATCGTTGCGTCCGTCAAAGGAGACGCGAGAGGTGTTGCGGCTATCAGGTGAAATGGATATCTGCAAAGGCAAGAGGAAGCTATTAGTTATCTGTTAATATAGCTGGCATGATATAAGTGGTTTTGCAACCCCTGCTAATGCATAATTCACGACTAAGACAGTCAAAGTCCACATAAGTTAGATTGAGCCATACAAAGTTGCTAGATTATAAAGCTAACATCTTAAAATATCATAAGATGATAAACTCGACAGTAAGCTTTGCAAAAAGTAAAGGTGCCGAATACTGTTAAACTTCAATAAGTCGAACTGAACGATAACTTAAATTTTCTTTTAATTCAATTTTAAGTTGGTTATATAAATAAAAGGAATCTTAGGAAGTGAATTACATTGTTTTGTATTGGGTAATAATAATATTCCAAACTCACCATTAGCTCTACTCCGGCTGGTACCACAATGGGCCTGAAGCTCAGCGAATGCGGGCAGATTGGGGTCACCAAAATTGCCGGCACGGAGGGATGGATCATGGATGCACCGGCGGCTGCCGCATATGCCGTGCTTCCCGTGGGCGTCGATACGATCAGGCCATCACCCTGCACTGAGGTGATGTACTTGCCGTCCAAGAAGATATCGATGTTGCTCAAATACGGCGAGGGTCCTCGGTTGATCACCACCTCGTTGAGCACCAGGATGCTGTTGTTCGGGCAGTTGTTGTTGTTGCACCCGAAATTCCCTGTTTGTCCGTTGTTGAGCTCCACGTAATTGAGCTGCCTGTGCAGGCTTGGTTTAAGGAGATTAGCACCCACAACGGGCAGCAGCGACTCCTTGCGGCGCTCGCCCTTGCGATGGATGGAGCAGCGCAGACGACTGCGCAGTGTAAGAGCGGCATGACCCTCCAGGACATTGGTCACCTGCTCCTGGAAGTTGTCGCACTGGAAAGGCGTAAGGAAACCGAGGGAGCCCAAATAGAAGGCCATCACCGGTGGCACAGACTGCTGGAACAGCTGGGATGCATAAAGCAGAGTGCCATCGCCGCCCAGGCACACGATGAAGTCGATGCGATCGGTCAGGTCATCGCGGCCATCCCTGCAAGATTAAGGATTAGAAAGTTAGTTTACTATTAAAAATCTTCATTCCAAAACAAACATCTAAGAACCAATTTGTTTAATATTTACTAGCCAAAAATAGAATTTGAGCTACGATTTAATCCGACACATCTATATCTTTTACATTTTCCTGACTGGTTTCTTATGAATATAAATCATAAGATCATTTAACAACAACCTCAGCTGTGTCGTTTAATATATAATTAAATTGTGATTATTAAACTTTCCAAGTTAATTTTTCCGTAATAAAAAGGCGTTTTTAATTGTAAGTGCCAAGAAAAACAAAAAAAACTGAGACTATAAAACCAACCCAGTATAATCTTATAAGTAATATTTTTCCCCACTTACTTGAAGGTCACCAACTTTTCACGCAGGGCCAGGAAACGCGCCCTAACTCCGGCGTAGTGGGCATGCACCTGCCGAAACTTGGTGCTCTCCTGCTCCAGCTTGACGTCATCCCGCAGCAGTTTGTCCTCAAGAACGGCGGACTCCACCCAGACGACCATGCGCTTCTCTTGCACCAGCCATTCCACCAGCTGGACGAAGGGCAGCAGGACCTGGGAGTCCTTCTTCTTGATCACCAGGACGGTGAGGGGTGGCTTATACCAGGTCAAACGCTGGCTGGCCGGATCCTGAATCTGCATCACCATGGCTGAGTTCTTCATAATGCGACCGCATGGCCCGAATTGCTGGAACGGCGACGGAGCATTCAGACTTCTAGTGCGCCTGGAAAGGTGAAACAAGAAAATGGGGTTTTAGTAGAGATTCATTATCCTAGATGATTACCACTAAAATACACCTCAAAATACGTGGGTCGGGCGCCACTGGGGTCACCTGTTGCTCTTCAACCTCAGATATATGGCGCTGCAAGGCTGGCGCTAGTTTCAACTTTTGGTGCTGCATAGCTTTTTGTTCTTAACTATTTCGGATGGTCACGCCCTTATTGTAGCCTTCCTATCACTAAGCACAAAAACTTGTTGGAATTTTCGATGCGAGCGCGACTGCTGCTCGTTCGAAGGTTACAAAATCACTGACAGGCCAATTTGGTGTTCGAAAACACAAAATAAAGGTATGTATATAACGAATTTATATTTTTGTTTTCATTACAACAACACGTAGCAGCGCAAATAAACTTGTTGAATCTGCGGTCCAAACAAACAGGAATTGCACATGCTAACAGGTGTGAGAGAGAGAGAGAGGGAGAGAAATAAGGGGAGAGCGGAAAAGATGGCCAAGAGAGCGGAAATGTTAAAGAGCACTGCTGCTGTTGAACTCTGTGCGTGAGTGTATGTGAGTGCGGGGGTGCTGAGCATGAGCATCGCTTCGCAAGTTAACGGGTTTGATTGATGTGCTTATAGCCGATGACTCAGCACAAAGAGACACAAAGAGAGCGGAGAGAGCACAGGTGAAATGAGCCGTAAGATAGACTAAGCAGTACCAGAACTGGACCACTGGACCAAGTACAGTCTGCAAGCTAAAAATAATTTTTCTAATAGTTTCTAAAAATACAAAAGATTGCAATGAAATCATTCCATTTAATATTATACGTTAAAACTAAACTTGTCATAAATTAAAGTGTTTTTAACAAAGCTTTTATATGTAATAGTTAAAGAATAAATTAAATCGAATTAATTACAAAAAGTTATCGATCGATTTTGTGGTTCAAAATTGGTTTTAAAATAGTAAACTAACTAACGTCCTTTTCAAGTATGCAAATTAGTTTCATTAAAAAAATTATTTAAAAAAAATGTTTTTTTTATTAGAAAATACCCTTAATTATTTTTTTAACGCCCACAATCTTCACTTTTTGTAAACACATACTTTCACTGCGTTGCAATTATTGTATCGAAAAACTCAGAGATAGTCCCATTGTGATTAAATACAGAGTCTGACTCACTTTAAAACAAGGCGCAATGACAAAAACTTGGTCGAAAGGAGCACGACGAGGGAATTACGTTAAGATGACGCATATTTTCTGAAGCAGGAAGATGTGTTGACAGTACTTGATCTTGTTTTCCCATTGATTTAATCATGATGACTTCGAAGGAAATTCACATTCATTCATTCACTTACTCGACATTTTCACAGTGAACGCCCGCTAAACGCACATGCTCGATCGCAACTAGAAACCGACTAAACTAAAAGTTCGGTGAGAAAACCAAAATACTTAAGTAAGCACTTAATTTGCTAGACAGATATTCATGAGACGTCAGCATGACACCGCTTAAAAATACCTTAAATTATTGACTTTCTGTAAACCCAAAGTCCGAATCATTTTCAATTTCCCGCGGGCTTTAATGAGGGGCCTACTATATAATCGAATTGCTGCCCAGACAAGCCATGCAAATGCGGTTAAAGCCACATGACCCGCGCACCTTTGGATTTCGGCACCGCGAATCGGTCACGAGCGGCTGTCACTCAGATATCGTACCGATTCGAATATATTTCAATACATTTACCTGTTGCCTTTGCTTTATGGCCGGCGCCAAGCACAAACTGGCACCGATTTCAAACCTAACTGGCATCTCAAGTTCTCCCAAACAAACCGTAAAAAATAGTAGCTAGTGAAGAAAAACCTACACATAAATTAACAGACGGCGCCATCGTAGTACCAATAAGCGAGGTGTTAACAAACCCGTTTTTTAACTGGCCAAAAAATGAAAAAGAAAACACGCCACAAACGCTGAACTATGCAGAAAGGTCAAGGACTTGTTGTCTGTTAAATAATAAACTGAGAAAACTGTTTTAAAGCCAAGTACAGGCAAAATGATATAAAATATTTAAAATTATTTATTGATAAATAGGTTTGCTCAGTCATGGTGATAAGGGAATATCAGTTGCGAAATTGATACTAAGTTCGGCGTACATATATAATAAGCCGATTTGATCTGCATAAACAATACGCGCCCAAATGCACACCACATTTCTCACACCTGATAAGCACCAACGACAAGGTAAACACTTGATTACAAAACGACACTCCTTATCGCCGCATGCCGCGTACAAATGTTCGACGACCTGTTAACTTTCAGACAACCCCACTGAGGGAAAAACACGTAATTTCAAATTAATTGATTGTTTTAGAGATTATTTTTTTTATTTTAATAATTATCTTGTTTCTGACAACTTGTTGTTCAAAGAGTTTTTGGAGAAACCAAGGTCTGGCTAATTAAGTTTAATTTTAAATATATAACTTTCTGACAATCTATAAGAACATTGTCAAGGTTCTAGAAAATAAATGTTTTTACGGACACAAGGCTTTATCAGTTTCGCTACTTATTAATATGTATAATGCTTATACATATGAAAACATTTTTACTTTCAAAGAAACTCATGTTTCGTTCCTGATTAAAAATGTAATAAAATTTTGAATTGGAAGTCAGTAAACCTTGTTCACAGACTGTCTGATCTCGTTTAAAATGCACATGTATATTATTAACCTTTCGTGGTGATATTTATATTTGGGTGAAACATTTGTATCACTTTTTTTAGCTGATCAGGGATTCGATTTGAATTGGGTCGCGAATCTTTTCGGTTATTTGGGATTACTTACGGCCAAGTGCCGCTTCGCGTGCGTCGTGTCGTGGAATCGAAATAGCCGTCATCAGGATCCTCTTCGGATTTGGCCAGATGGTGCTCCTGACTGCTCACCAAGCTTTCACTAGCCACGATCTGATCCTTTGGCTTGGCGCTGGCCGCATTGGCCTTGTGCTGGTTGATTCTCTGGCGCTTCAGCGAGGCATTGTGACGCATGAGGAGATCATTGTACTGGGTCTGCTGGTGGCCAGTGCCACTCCAGGCCAACTTATAACTAAAACGCTCCTCCAGACGGTTCTGGTGCAGGGTGGCCAAGTCAATGTCCGACAGGCACGTCATGTTCAAGTCTTTTGATTACCAAATATCACTCAGAAATTCACAGGAGATTCGTATTGTTAAAACATTTTTCCACTGAAAATGGGTTGGGAAATTTTAGTTAGCATTTCGCTTGGCATTTCTTGGATGATCATGGAATCGGCCCCGATTTGCCCAAATGGTGAATAACAGTAACCTTGCTCCCCTTTGCTAGAGGTGTTAACAAAGTTAACAATTTTGGTAACAAAAGAATGCAATACATTTTTGTGGGATATAAAAAGGTAACTGCTTTGGCGCGTGGTAAAAGTTGATAAACAAAAACGATCAGTTTTGGGTTTTCGTATATGAACCGGTTTGGTGTTTCTTTTGAAATTTGTGCAAAATAAATTTGTGATTAGCAATCGAATAGTTTGTTTTGTTTTGCCTTTTTCTGGCTAACCTAACGGACCAGAAACGTAGTTCCGGCTTTGACGCCAGAGCCATCAAAAAACGAGGGAGACGGAGATGGCTAGAAAGGAGCGGGACAAGGCCCAATATGCGTCATTGGCCAGCTTCCGTCGGCGGGGGGTTGGCGGCGTTGGACTTGGCCAACTTTTATCGCCTGCTTGGCCACATAAGCATGTCAAGTATAAATCAATTGGCAAGAAATCCGCTTGCCAAGCCGCTCAAAAATAACTTGGACGTACTAAGGCAACCACAGTTAGCTTCATAACGAGAAATATAATTAAATCTTTTTGTTTCGTGATTGCTTTGCGTTGGTCAACAACCTTTTAATAAGGCAAGCACGAAAAATACAAAAACGTCCACTTAGACCACAATTAAAGCGTCTTCTCCGCAACCCACTTGGGCATAACAGTATCGCCAGCCATTAATCTAGAAATCGTGACCAGTGTGTGTAATGAGCTTGAAGATCTCAATCATTTCGGTTTCTTACCGAAAGTGCCCCATCAACAGTTCATTAACAGAGGTCGTCCAAAGATTCTGTTAAGTGGCTGATAAGATGGGGAACTTGGGAAGTATCTGTGGAGGTCTTTATAAAGTGGGGGATCTAAAGAAGTCAAGGTATAAAAAATAACTCGGAGGTCCAAGAAGGACTTTTCTGTTTCTATTATCTCAAGTTGTATTCAAAAATAAGGAATTAGACTGTCCAATTTCTACAAATATTAAAACAACCCAATCAAGAAATCGTATGAAACCAAATCATTAAATTTTTAGGGGCGTATTTGCCTTACAATATTCTCTGAAAACCCTCTCTCTAACAATAATAGGACTCGTTGCATTCGTTGCATTTGAGTGATCACTTCCATTTGGAATTCTAATTATTATATATATTGCATAAGGAGAATTGGTGTACAATAAAATCTATAGTCCCCAGCGATCGCGTGATCCAAAGTCTTCCCTATCTTCTATTTTTACCGACATCAGGAAGCAAAAAGTAAGTACAAGTCATTGAAAATGTTTCTGTAAAATAAACAAAGGAAGGCACAAGCCACCACCAGTTCGTAATCACCAGTTACATCCGTAGTAATCGGACAATGACAATAGACGGCTACATAAAGCGAATTACAAGTGACTTATGCACAAAGAAAATTGAAATAAATAAGCGACAGGCACAAATTAATTAATCATTAAACGGACAGCAACGGGCAGCAAAATGCGCAGTGGCAGCAACTAGTTTAGCGATTATCGTTCAATGGATCGGAAAGTGGACAAGGGAACGGCACCCACGGATTAGTGGAACCACCTGGCCACAACGTGCCTACACATGCAATAATATAATTCAAATGACGCCTTTCGTCGAAAGTTCGTAGGTTCGAAAGTTGCAACTGCAGGTATTACGGTTGAACTTCTATAGTACATGCCAAACCTTTGTTTGTTATTAACGTCTACTTGTCGAGGTTGAAAGTCACAAAACTGCGATTGCTCTTTGTACTGCCAACTAAATTAAAATATTCTTAAATTTTTTTCGCTAGGATTATCAAAATAGGTTTTACGATATAGGTCAGGGCTAGAATTATAGAGTTATATACATTGCAGAACAAAGTATAAACATGTACAATCATTTTAATGAAGAATTAACCCTTTGTGGGTTTATAGATAGCAAAACTGCTCAAATGTTGATATTTAGGGTGAGTCAGAGAATATGGAAGTCAAACTAGGTTACTAGATTCTTGGTTGTTCGAATGTTTTAGTTAGGAATATCTATTAAATGGATCACAACTATCGGGCTATTGAAGTTCAATTGTAGTTAGTGTCTTTGGCCGATTGTTTTAACGAAGTTCCACAGCAATAACTAGATAAAATCTCAATTAATATGGAGTTACGAAATGCTTAACATAGGAAGCAAGCCACAGTTATAAAACTTTTGAAGTTAATTTCTAATTAAATGCAAGTTCGTTAGAGGGAAGTTATATTAGCTGTCGAAGTTGGTAGAAAATAATGTCTAAGTGTTTGAGTTATAAAATGAGCTTTGAACCACAACTTAGGAAGTTCGAGTAATTTCATGAATTAGTGTAAGTGCACGATTGCCTTTTAACGAAGTTGCAGTTAAATAAGGAGAAAAAATCTCTATTATATTGGAGTTACGAAAAGCTTTACCTAGGAAGCTCAAGTTGTAGAATTTTATATTGAAATTAAATTAAAAGTTAGTTAGAACGGAGTTTCAAATAGCTCTTTAAATTGATAGAAGAGATATAGAGATTCATCTCTTTCATCCTTTTGAGTTTGAGAAATCCATATTTAAAGAAGATCGATCTTTAATTCGCATGTCTTAATAAAATAGTTTGATTTCATTTTGGTAGAAAATCCTCTAGAAAATTCTTAGAACACAGTGTCATTGAAGTACGACCGTAGTTCCATAATCTAGTGCCACAAGTGATTGACGTATTGATAGTGTCTGACTATAGATGGAAATCGAAAGTGGGCTGGGGCCCAGACCCCAGAAATGCCAAGTCATGTCTGCGCTAGAAAAAGTAACCGGTGGCTGGCAACAAAGTACTCTAATTACACGTTATATAATCTGTTTCATTTTCTTTTTAGCACAAGCGCGAACCAAGGCGAAACTTCCAGCTTCGGCGACTTTAAACTGACCAGCGATTGGCGGCAGGTAAACGACCGACTCGAAACGAAAACCGCTCGACGATCGTTGGCGGTACAGGTGTAGGAACAGGTGCGACAGGGACGGGGAGAGAGCGCGAACACGACCGTGCTGTCCGGTGAACATGCGATAACTGAGCTGGGACGCCAAAAAGGTGATTAAGTTGGACGATTTGTGCGATTCCGATTCGAAAATAAAAGTATACGAGCCGAGCGATTGTAAACAATGGACGGCGAGACGATCGTTTGGCGGGTTTTCGCCGGACATCGCTGGTAAATAAACAGCTGAGCGAAGCCACGCGTCGCGATCGAAGAGAACTAAAAACGGCAACAAGTGGCTCTCTGCACACTTGCTGTTGTGTAAGGGTAATGAGCGGCCAGTGGCTCTTTAATTGCTCATAATAAATAATAATAAATAACCAGAAAAATGGAAACTTCGGCAATTTGAAATTCGTATACGCTTGCTGTTATAACATGTTTTTAGGTGGTTTATATTTATTCGTTCAATATCTATCGACACACAATAAATTGTTCAACCATTATTTTATAAGTTAGTCAGAAATAATACCCTCTGCAAGGGTGAAATTTCGTTTATGTTTAAAGCAATAAAGTTTTGTGGATTTGCATAATATTTTTCTTTTTATTTTCCGATCTTTCCTATGGCTGGTATAGTATATAAAGTGTAGTATAGTTTATATAATATAGTCGTCCGATTTTTATAAAAGTAAAAATTCCAAATGGACAGACAGACATGGCTAAATTGACTTTTCTGGTGATACTGATAAAAAATATATATGTACTTTACTGCGAAGTCACTTTTGACTGAAATTATAATACCCTAGCATAGCTCTGAAGTTCATAAATCAATTTATGGTCCCATAAGCAAAAGTCTTAAGTGCCTAACAGTCTATTTGAACTTATTAAAATCATTTTTTCAATAGTTCTCATAATGTATCAAAAATATAAGTTAAGTCGATAAGTCGTTAAAGTCGAATGAACTTATTAAAATCATTCTTTCAATAGTTCTCATAACTTATCAAAGCGATACACTTCACAATCTGTAAACTCATACTGTTCGACGAGTAAATCAATGAAAATGCAATTTAGTGAAGGAAATTGATTTTTTCTGCCTACATCTGGCACATTTCACACATTTGTTATACATGTTTAGAGAAATAACATTTCGCCAGAAAACAACAAAATACAACAACATGTGTGGGCCACTTAAGAATGCTGCACTTTCGGGCCAGCTCTTAATTATTGCCAGTCGTAATATAAGTGCTACATTTCCCTTATTGTTTTGCACAACAGTGATTGCGCTTATCAGAAAATATTTTTTCCAGATTTCTTATCAAATTCTTTTTACACATGTTTGTACCATTTGGTATTAATAATAAAAAAAAAAGTCTTAAGATTATCCAAAAATAATCCGATCAAAGTAAATTTCAAAGACCAAAAACATAAAAAACATTTTTTACATTTTTTTTTTTTCCAAATCAAATATGTTTGATTTAATATGGGAATTTCAAAGTAAACAGCCGTTCCCGCCCTCTAAAAACAAAATCCAGATCTTTGTGAAAAACGGGAACAGTTTTGCTGGCCCCACTGCGCCGCCCACTTACCACCACCATCGCATATGGAGGTCGTCGCTGGCAGTTCCGTTATTTATGCCAGGACCCGGTGCCGAGGATGCTGCTGCGCTGCCCTGCCTTCCACTGTTCACGTGGAGCAGCTGATTGTCGTGGTCGTCGTAGTAGGATCCGTTCGAGGAGGAGCTCACGGAGGAGCCGGTGGCCTTCGGAACCTTTTGGGCGGGTGTGGGGGTGGTACTGGCCGGGATGTTGTTGTATGAGGACGTCATTGTGTTGGTCACTTGTCAACGCGCGCGTGTGTTTGTGTATGTGTGTGTGTCTGCGCACCTGTGTGTGCGCGGGAGTAAGTGTTGTTGTTGTTGATGGCCTCAGTTTGACCCACTAACGCGATGCACCTGACAGCCACTGCAACTACCAATTGGTCACTTCCCGGTTTTAGGCTCGCGACAACTAGCTGCTAATTTTCGTATTTGAGAACGAGACTTTCAATGGGTCCATTTTATTTATTTTTTTCTTGCACCATTTCACGTAAGTGTGGCTGTTGCCAGCGGATTGGAAAATACTGAAGTTACCAGTAGATTAAAAGCGCAGAATAGCTGGAGTACTGCCACATTAAGGCGCGAAATTTTAAAAGCTTACACTATTTGGCACAATATGTCACTAAGCCCCAATCATTACACAATTTTTAATTAATAAATAAATAATGAAAATGATGAGTACCACCCCATAAAATAATAAATTGTTAAGGCTTAGAACTGTATATTTTTAGTCCAAGCTTTGTAGAAATCAACAAAAACAAAAATAGCTGTTTCAGAAAAAATTTTTAACCATCAAAAATACTGGGACACGGAGTTGCCAGACCTAGCATGTACTCCCGTACAAAAGCTGTTTGTTACAGCACCCAGCTCTGAAGCGCGGTAACTTTTTGAATCTGTGAATTTGTCTAGTTCAAGGACATTCTACACATAACTTACCGAAACTGAGTTCGCCTTTCCAGCAAACTAATGGCCAGCGGTTTTGTCAGCTGTGCTGGCGAGCTGCCCGGCGTTGAGGCCTCTCCATCGACAATTTCCCGCGCTCGCTGCATATCTTCGGGATTCATTTCAAATGTTCACTTCCCAACGCAATTAAGCACAATTAAATCACAACCGTACGCTGGCAACGTTCGTCGTCAACTACGGCGAGACTTTATGCATTTCGCACAACCAGATAGGCACGCATCGCACACCTGGTGTACGCACACGCAAAAAACCGCGCACACCTTGAATTCGGCGAGCAAAAAAGGCAAAAACACAACGGCAGCAACACGATCGGGCGAACGAACAATGGCACAAGATTTTAGCCGTGTAATGAACATAGCTTGTACGCCTGAGGGCGCAAACATACAGCCTAGCAGCTACACTTTCGATTCGCACCCAAATCGATGCAAACTAAGTTTTTTTGACAGGCCCAAGTGCGTGGCAGCAACACTAGCCCAATCCAATACAATCGAATCCAAAGACAGCCGCGAGGTGAACAACATGCAACAAGTGGCCTGGGAGAGGCGCTCTAAAACCAGTCTAAATACAAATCACTTTCAGGCTATAATCTATATTGCAAGGTGTGTTTGGGACTACACTAATGCGAATTACACAAGGCAATGTTAGAGAACGCATTTCAATCAGTTTGCAATCAGCATTAATCTACAGCAGAACTTGACAATGTTTTCTAAATTCTACATAAGCTTCATTTGGTAAAATACAAGCAGAATTTATGTGTATTTAATAGTATTATTTAACAACAGTTTTATAATTAAGTGTGCTTTATTAATTTGTTTTTCAAAGATTCGAGGTTTGTTCTCTTAAACAATTTATTAAGTTTTTACTAGCAGCATTTATATATATCTAGCAGAAATTTACAATATTTCAGCATTACTTAATAGTTTATACCCATTTTAGGAGCTTTGGGATTGCAAGGAGTACAAACTATGAAACTTTTCTGTTACATTTGGCGAAATGTGGTTAACAAATTGTTTTAATTTGATACTTGGAAAATAATCGTAAATTACACACTAAATAAAAAGACTTTCGCAAGGGCAAAGGACAAAGAGTACTACTAACCTACGGCTACGATTAGCAACAGGGACTTACGCACTACACATCATACAATTTCATGTTCTCGATCTCGTCCAGCGTGTCCTCCGATCCGGAAGCCGTGAGATCCGACAGCTCGTCGAGGCACTTCTGCCGCTTGCGCACATTCCAGTGCAGTCCATCGGCGAGGGAGGCAAACCAGTCGGATATCTGATCCTGGGCACAGATGCCGGGCACGGGATAGATGGAGGTGGTCACGCGGAGGCTGTCGCCATGGAAGAGTTCCTGTCGGTTGCGTCCATCGAAGCTCACCCACGAGGTGTTGCGGCTCTCGGGGGAAACTGAGATCTGAATGAGAAATATATGTTACATTAGCTGCGTAATTGAGTACGATGAAGAGGAAACCCACCTTCAGTTCGACCCCTGCTGGCACCACGATAGGTCGGAAGCTCAGCGAATGCGGGCAGATGGGAGTCACCATAATGGCCGGTACGGAGGGATGGATCATGGAGGCACCAGCTGCTGCTGCATATGCTGTGCTTCCCGTGGGCGTAGACACAATCAGACCATCTCCCTGCACCGATGTGATGTACTTGCCGTCCAGGAACAAGTCGATATTGCTGAGATACGGCGAGGGTCCTCGATCGATGACAACCTCGTTAAGTACCAGGATGCTGTTGGACGCCGGTCGAGCGTCTCCATCTGGGTCTACTTCTAGAGTCTTTGCCTCATGCTTCCTATCCGCCCGGCGATGCATCACACAGCGCAGACGACTGCGAAGCGTTAGGGCAGCGTGGCCCTCCAGTACACTGGTCAATTGCTCTTGGAAGTTATCAAAGCGAAAGGGTGTGAGGAAGCCCAGGGAGCCCAAGTGGAAGGCCATAACAGGAGGCACAGATTGCTGGAAGAGCAGGGAGGCGTACAGCAAAGTTCCATCGCCTCCAAGACAGACAATGAAGTCTATCCGATCGGTCAGATCATCGCGGCCATCTCTGCAGAAATAGTGGTTTGAGTTACTCATCTATTTTAATACGTTTTATAATAACACACTCACTTGAATGTCACCAGCTTATCCCGAATGGCCTTGAATCGCACATCCTCGTTGAGTAGCGCATCCTCCAGCACCGCCGACTCCACCCAGACCACCATGCACTTCTCCTCCAGCAGCCATTCCACCAATTGGACAAAGGGCGCCAGAACCGAGGCATCGCTGACCTTCTTGATCACCAGGACGGTGAGAGGTGGCTTGTACCAGGTGAGGCGCTGACTAGCCGGATCCTGGATCTGCATGACCATGGCCGAGTTCTTCATGATGCGTCCACATGGTCCGAATTGCTGGACAGGCGAAGGAGCATTCAAACTGCGAGTGCGCCTGCAAAGAGTGGAATAAATAGGAAAAATTAATAAGGAGAAAGAAAAGTGTTATCTTTAATGACCTAAGTAAATGTCTTTTGTTTTTGGTTCCTGAAGGAGGAGTCAACTCCTGAATGCAATTGTTATTGCAATCATTCATGTCCTCCCACTTGACATTGTTGAACTCCTCGATGCTCAGGGAACTATGAAGCGGAAAAAAGGCAGCAGCCTGCTGCTGTTTAGGTCGCAAGGGAAACATTTTAGAAATTTAAACTTTTATTTAGAACAATCTTTAAGTTTGTTGGCTTGTTTTCTCCACTTTTTCAAGTTGCAGACTAACTTCAACCAACGGTAAATCAACCTTATGCAAATGGCGACAGTAAAAGCAGACGGAGATCAAGAGAAAAACAAGTGAGATGGTATGGGATTCAGGAGAATCGCATTTAATATTCCCCTTCCTGCTTGCATTCGTAAAATCACTGAAAAAAAATGTTTTCCAAGGTAATTCAACCATTACTTAGTTAACTTTTATCTGTGACAAGTTAATATACAATCTTTAACAATTTGTTGTACATATTTTACTATTTTTGCACTCCTATATTAATAATCTTTTAATTACCTCAAAATAGCTAATCTTAACTAAATGGTTAAGAATATTTGATTTCATTGCTGAAATGGTAAACATTTTTAAAATCTGAAGATGTATTTACATCTTGTGAAAGTTCTTAATTAAGATCAACAATTTTATTTTGATATGAACACTATTTATATTTAAGACGAAATGATTGTTTGATGGTTTTAATTCTCAAGCTAACTGGACTTTTTCAAACTAAATTTAAATATCAGATAAAGTACTTGTTTTTAAAATATATACAATTTAACATTTAGGCCTGTTTTATGGTCTTTATAGTAGGATGTATAATTTGAATAATGTCATATAATGTAATAGACAAAAATATGATAACGGAATAAATAAACTGTTACTTCAGTAGTAATCATATTAAAATCTGAATTTGAAAATACAATCTATATGAAATCTCTCTTCAATTATTAATATTTTAATTTGATCTGGATAACAGTTATGTTCAAGTCGAGATGATTATAGGTAGAGGGATAACAATAAGAAAAGGGAATTCCCAATTTAAGATCTTAATTAAGACTTTTAAGTTGAGTTATGATGGCCATATTTTTTCCTGTGCACTTTCAAGTGCACTTCTTGCGCCATCGTGCAGCTGATTTGGATTACAAATCCAGCTTTTCGCAAGCAATCTTATCGCTAGAAGGTTTTCAGCTGGTTATCCACTTACGGCCAGGTGCCGGATCGTCTGCGTTGCCCACCTGATGCCGATCCACTGCCATTGGCATTATCCCTGGCCCGACCCCGCTCCACACCACTCCCCTTCTGATCCGGCTGCACCTTCCTCTGCAGACTCCGCTCCAGACAGTAACGGGTCATGGGACTGAAGCCGTCGTGGTGGTGGTCGTAAATATGCTGGCCATTGGGCAATCCGTAGTGCCAGCGCTGCTCCAAGCGATTCTCGTGCAAGGTGGCCAAATCAATGTCCGAGAGGCAGGCCATTATGACGGCAACTTCACTTTTCGGGCTCAAAAATCGCTGACAAACTAGTCAAAACGTAACTTTGGACTGCAGTTTCGTACACTTGGATTTTTGGAATGCAGTCAGACCGCATTGTTTTGGCCAGCACAAAAGGGACCAAGGTTAGTTTTGTTTTCACAACAAATTTTCGTTTCAAAAATAACACGCCCACGCACTTTTGATCGATGAGGCGAGTAAATATGGGCCCAGAAATGTGTCAACGTAAAAGAGAAAGTCTTTTTAACGGGCGTAAAGGGGACAGAAACTGGTAATTAGAAATGCATTAAGCCGACGGTGTGCGTAAAGGAAAAGACTCTGTTGTTTGTTGACTTTGGCTTTTCGTCAAAGAAGAGATAATTTTCCACCGAGTTTCCACTTAATTACTACGCACAGCTGGCCGGAAAATTATAGGCAATAAAACGTTGGAGGGCTCTGAAATTGTCAACCGGGCGATCGCGTGTGCGAGCGACAACTGAGCAGCCGAGTTGACAAGGTTGGTCCGATGGGGTCTGGGTTTTTCACTCTTGGCCGTTAAGAGTTCCCCAATTCCAGAGCCATTTAAAACAGCGCAGGCGCGAAGGCCTCGGCGTTTAATTAAGAGTTCAATTGATAATATTGTAGATATCACAACGAATCAATTGCCAAAATTAGAGCACTTTGTGGATCCAAAAACGCTTTTCAATTTCTTTCGCTTAAATTGAATCAACAATCCCATTTGGAGGAGGGGTCGGGTTCAAGATGGTGCATTCAACTTAGATAAGAAAATACGTAAATTGTGTGAAAAAAGGTACAGTTATGGTTAAAAACCCTTTGGTCCGTTTTCTTGTCTTTATGGTAAGCTTAACATATTTTTAGCTTACAGGCGGATGGTTTTAAATTTGTTTAAACTATATTTTCAAAGCTTGTGATTAATATTTTTTCTATTTTAAATTTAGTTGATTTTTGAGAAAGCCAATTCGGTTTTAGAATTAAAACTAATAGCTTTGTAGTTTTTGTGTTAGAACCAATAGATGTTGTTTATTTTTTTTTATTTTACCAAGATTGGTAAAAGTGAATTTAAAATTTTTCAAAAAATATTCACTGTAACGGTATTTAAATTTAATGATATGAAAAAAACAACATAAATAAATAAAGATAAATATGCAAAGAACAATTCAAAAAGAATAAATAAAATTGAAAGAACTAAATAAAATTGTATAAAAAAGATTAATTCGTATTGATTACCAATATGATATATATAACTTTGGAATTTTGTAGGTTAATTTAAATCTTGTCTATAACTTATACTTAATGAGAGGGGATATGTACAGCTATCTAATGCACTAAAAATTCTTTCTCCATATAAATTCGTTTAAATACGGTTTAAAACATCGATGACCTATTCTTGTGTCCTCCACTGTGGTTGCATGAGAGATGGGAGTCCGGAGGAAGGTGCAAGCTGCATGCATGTAAATACGGGCAGGTGATTAGGACCTTACCACCACCAGCTGCTGGTCATGAGGCCGTCGCCCAATCCCGGCGCCGAGGTGGATGCAGTTGCTCCATCCGCCGTTCCCGTGGCATTCAACAGATGACCCCCATCCGCGATTGCGTCCTTTTTGCTGCACGGAAGCGGCTGGCCATCGGAGGAGTTCATGTCCACCGGTGCGGGCATCTATCTGTTGCGACTCTTCTTTCCAGGAAAGATCAGGGCCACATATGAGCCCTTTCAGCAGGAACCTGTCTCTGCGATGGTTGTTTATATGCAGCACACGGCACGGAAATTTAACGAATTTTTTAATGCAAATAAACTGCGCAAAGTGGTTGCTAGAGCTGTCAATAAATCGATGGACGTATCGATACTATCGATTGTTTCTATCATTGCAAAAACATGGCGCGAATTTTCAAAATCCCAACGCTTTCTTACGTCATACGCAAAAGTATTCGTCATTCATAATTATTTTCGACAAAGGAATACTTTTGACAATGCAAATTAGTTAGGCACGTGAAAACAATGTTTATTTTTAGGCTAATTTGTACGTGTTTTAAGTGCTTTTAAAATCACGAACAAAAGTTTGTTTGCATTTGTTTATTTTTAGAACCACTTATAAACAAAATACAAATTTTTGCTGACGAACCCGTGGTGAAATTGTATTAATTAATTTTAAGTATTAAAATGATTATTAAAAATTATATCTAAAGTTTCAAGAAATAAATCCATCATATTTAATGGAAGCGTTGTTAGGTAGTTTTGTTATTTTCAACTAAAAAAACACTGTTGATTGTTATAATAAAGTTTATATTACATTTATACTAAAAACAAGAATACTTTCAATATAACGCTAATATAAACAACGAAATATATCCGTAATATCAAATAGCAATTTAAAGCAAAAACAACATTCAATGGTTTCTGCCTTTAAAAAGTAATTTCACAAGTAGTCCACAATTAGTCACTTGAGAAATTTCTTGTTAAGTGCAAACACCATTGCATTAATGGGTATTCCTAGGCAAATCATTATTTAGCAACAAAAAACACAAGTGAAATTGCAAATCTTAATTTTAGAACTTATTGTGAACTCACCTAAATTGTTTGCGCCTTTCGCTCAAATCCAGGACCCTCCTCAAGGGTCTGGGTGAGTCCCCCGGTGATGTGGCTGTGGCTCCATCGTTCTCCTCCTCCAAGGAACTGCACACCGAATTGTTGGCCACTATTTGGCGGGCCAGTTCCAGATCCTCTTCGCGCATTTTCGTTTTAAGTTAAAGCCGAGACTCCACGACAACCTCGCTGTTCCGGTGGCGAGATCCAACTAAGTGACTGGCCATGCCTCGTTTTCCAAAATATATACAATGCATGCGCATATGTAATACTTGGGCGAGTGGAAAAGTAAGTTGTTGAACAGATGCTGTGCCCGCCCCACTCGTACTTTGAATTCATTAAGAGCCTCCCGATATTTACATTTCCAGAGCAACTTTTCGAGCGGTCCATATTTTGACGGCCCCGGGGCGTGGCAGATCGGGGCTGATCGATTTATAAGCTATGCGTGGATTAATAGCCGGTGGCGCGTTCTTAATAATATGTGTCCGAAGGTAGCGCCAAGAAAATAGGCCCATTTTTGCATTAACACCGTTCGCTGAATTTTTAAATTTGTATGATATACATTTTTATTATTTAAATATTCCGTTGCTCTTTTTTATATAAGAAATATTTGTTTATTTAAATATACTTTTTACGAACAAGGTGAACTCTAATATATGCAGGTCTTCGGGAAGGAATTTAAGGTATCCAATTTATCAGTAAGCACTGGCCATGTATTTAGGGATTCAACCATATTTTTTTTGGCAAAAGTGCTTAAAGCTTTTATTTTAATAGGAAACTTCCGGGTTGTACAAAATAACACGTCATTTTTGGGAAAGGTCCGGGTTTTGCTGGTGCAAGGCAAGACATATGTTATGTTATAGAAATGTTAATATGTTAAGTTTTTTAATACAAAAATAAAAGTTTTACAATAACTTAAGTTTACTGTTGGCAATTTATAACTCCATTGACATAATCAAAGTTTTTTATGTGGTGTTAAGTATCTTCTTCGGATGTTTAAGGGGAATTGTAAATTTATTAACACCAACAGAATAATATTTGACATGTAACTAACCTCATTCGACACAATAATTCTACATCCGCAATACGGTCAATGGTTTTTTATGACTCAAAAACTCAAATTACCCTAAAGTTCTTTGTTGTTATGGTTAATTCTTTTTATAAATTGGATATGCTTGATTTAGTCTATCAGTTTCATTGAATGAGTTAAGTACTTTTTAAATTCATAACTTCGCGCTTTTCGGGCTATCGAATATCGATTGTATTGAATAAACATAGATTTTTGTTCCACCTCTAATTTTTGTTCCAGCTCTAAAGCCGACGATTCTACGTCAAAAGCTAAGGAAATAAGTTTATTTAACGACAAAAAAAGGGATTTACAATGGCAGCCAAGGCAGCGTTACCCTTGCAGATGTTTGGACGGCGTCTCGTCCAGCTGAGGTCATCGGTCACCGCGCAGAATATGAGGTAAATCCGCCCGCATTGCTTCCTCTTTTCTGTGACGTAATGAGGGCGCACGCTTGTCGGCAATCGCACGTAATTGTAACACTACCCACTTATCACCTCCCCAGCGCCTTGCGATTGTACAGTACAGAAAAACAGCCGGAAGAAGCGTCGGCGGCAGGAGCAGCTGAGCCCAAGACCCCCGCATCCTCGCCAGAACTGGAGAAACTGACCAAGGACCTGGCCGCCGCCAAGGAGCAGAATGCCGAGCTTCTGGACAAGTACAAGCGATCCCTCGCCGACAGCGAGAACATGCGCAACCGACTGAACAAACAGATCAGCGACGCCAAGATCTTCGGCATCCAGAGCTTCTGCAAGGACCTGCTCGAGGTGGCGGACACCCTGGGACATGCCACACAGGCGGTGCCCAAGGATAAGGTGGGCTTTATCAGCTAGGAACCTTCACATATCTCATTAGGACTCAATTTGGACAAGTGTGCAAATTGGTCCCATATCAATGTTAGGTTCTAAATGCCATTCAGGTTGAGATAAGAAATCGCACTTATTCAATTCGATTGCTCATTGTTAGTTTTTCTTTATAAGCTTTTCTAGATCACGTTTCCGATTTAGTTTTATTGTATCGAATTAAGACCATTTAGGATCTTTAATTTCACATTTATTTCTCACCAGTAATTATAAAAGAGATATTAGATATACTCGGGCTAAACTGCATTGCCTTTTACATTAGTCGCTATTATATTCTTAAAAACTTAATTTATTTCTCTTGGGTATATATTTTTTCAAAATATCGTTAGGATTCGGTAGTGTAGCAAACATAAAGCACATACATCAACTTTAATACCTTTTGTAAACTGTTTTAGGCTTCGTTAATGCAAATTAATAGTGAAATATAGCTTAAAAATACAATTATTTTACGTTTAGTTTCTCGATATCTTTCGAGAGGAAGAGAAATTAATGGATTTTGTGAGAGAGATTTAGTGGTTTTCGGCGCATTATATAAATATGTAATTTGGGACTGGGGTTATAATATCAGTCAAATAAATTTAAGAATTCAAATCATATTTGATCGAATTTTAGGTATCATGATTTTGTAATATCTTTGAAAATACCCAACTAACCATTAATTTATTACAGCTTAGCGGGAATGCTGATTTGAAGAACCTTTACGAGGGCCTCACCATGACACGCGCCTCGCTGTTGCAAGTGTTCAAGCGACATGGTTTGGAACCGCTGGACCCCATCAACCAGAAGTTCGACCCCAACCAGCACGAAGCTCTGTTCCAGAAGGAGGACAAGACCGTCGAGGCCAACACCGTGGTGGAGGTCACTAAGCTGGGCTACAAACTACACGAGCGCTGCATACGTCCCGCCTTGGTGGGCGTGTCCAAGTGTTGATAGCGAGGCGGCTGCCCACCGGCATGCAAAATTCCCAGTACTCCCCCTTATCCCCGTTTACATGGTGTCGCTCTCAGTTGTTTGCAATTTGTTTTCTGCTGCAAAATTCATGTACGTCAACCCTGTGTAAATACAACCAATCCTCAAAATGCATCCTTCGGGCAGCGCTTGCGAATTTAGAATTCCTCCTAGTTTCTAAGAGATCTGTGACTGGATTTGATGGCCACAATTTGTACCACATGCGTTGCCATCGAGTGTTCCAATTTAAGGTTTAATTACGATAATAAAAACATGTGTTAGTTTGTTGAAATACATGGATGCTTTCTTTGGTTTTGGGAAACCTCTGGTAATCCTGCTTATTTGGGTCTCCTTCTGTTCTCTTTGATTTTTCCGTTTTTGTTCGCCCTCGAAATTCGAAACCCTCTTGAAAAACCATTTCTTTTGTCAACAAAAACCAGGTAGCGCAGGGTAATCACATTCCTGCTCGTCGCGTAGGTGGAAAATTCAATGGAAAAGCGTAAATTTCTATGACCCAGCAGGTAGTCTTCCATAAATTCAGAGAACACACACAGATGTTTGCTCCATAAAAAGAGATTTCTTCCCGGGTTCAAAGTCTACATCGAAAGGTTTTTGAGTTACCATGGATTAGTTGTCCTTAAACATTCGAAGTGAACAGAATGATTGCCTGTCTAATGCGTTTTCTGTGGTCCTTGGCACTGCTGCAGTGCATCCAGGCTAAAGTGGCGCTGAGACCTCTATTCTACGGCCAAGATAGTGCTGTTATTGTCGACACCTATAGAAAATTCCCACCCAGGCTGGACTCCAAGCTGCAGAATGCCTTGTATTACAACATGCCGGTTTATAAGCTAATCAAGCCTGGTACCACGACGACCACTACAGCTGCTCCTAGTCCAGGCTATCCTGCTGATCTTCTGGACATAGCTCACAACAAACTGGGTCTTAAGGATCTGCCGAGCATTGAGGAGCTGGGCGAGTTAATTGGAACGGATAATGCCGCGGAAACCATAGACTATATTCGTGCTCTCACCGGTACTGATGAGGGTCTGGCCCTGATGAAACAGTATCTGGACACGCTGCGTTATGAGGATGCGGAGGAGAAGGTGGTGGAGGAAAAGGAGGCGGAGGACAAGGAAGACAACGGCGACGACGATAACAGCATGTCTAATGTTAGTTACGATGAGCTGCCCCAGGAGAAGACCATCACCACCACCACAGTAAAGCCCAGTACCGAAGTAAGTCTAGTGCAACGTGTCGGAAACTTCATGAAGCAGTATAGCCTGTGGTCAGGACAGGACACCACTACTACGGCTCGTCCTCCCGTCATCGCTCCTCCAGCTGGTTCTTTCCTGCCCGTTTTTCTGGCTCCCCCAAGGGTTTGAAGCCAATGCGACCTATCTTGGTGAGGCAACCACTGCCATATCACTATCCCATTCCCCTGCGACCTGTTGCGTTGCCCACCGTGAGACCAACTCAGGTGCCCAGCACCACACGTGCACCCAAACCACATCTGAACACACCGAAAGTGCAGGAGGATGCGGAAATCAAATACTCAACCTTGGCGCCGCACATCAAGCACTTTGCCAAGTTGGCCAACATCTCGCCACAGGTTGTGGAACGCTTCCTGGAGGGAAACCCTAAGCTGGCGGAACTGGCCAAGCGGCTGAGCACCCTGGCCCTCAGCCCGGAGCAATCCCAGGCCATTGACTCCCAGGTGCTCAGGGCCGTCCAGAGCGCACTGACCAAGAACGATGATCTCAAGCGACTGATCGAGGCCTCCCAGGCACTTAAATAGTTCAAAAGTTTAACTAGTCTTATTACAATTTCAAAGAAAATAAATTCCTCTAAAATAATTATTTTCCCATTTGCGTTTTATTGTGAAAATATTTCAGATAAACTATCGTTTCTACAAAAATGTAGAGGTACTTTTGATTATTATTTGCAAACAAATCTAAATACGAATTTAAATAGGCTTGTAATATATGTTTCCTAATACAATATTTTAGTCATTGGAAAAGGTTATTATATTTTACAATAAACTTAATAAATTAATGAAGAAACAACCGTGAATTAATTATGAGTACATGCGTAGGTTGTTATATGACCACAATCAATGATCTGTAAAAGGTTATTACCCATTAAAAAGGTAAGGCTAATTGCGGAATGATACCCATTATACAGTGTTGAGCTTGTTACATATAACAATACTTAGAAGGAGATTATTTAACTACCACGAAATATTTATTAAGAAAAATTTCTAAAATACCCCATGGTTAAAATTAAATTCCAACTGTGGCAAGTACCTCAAAACGCAGAGATCTGATCCGAAGATGTAAAATCAACACGTTATTAAATACTACCAAATTTTTCTGGCGTTAATTGCATAACTGAAGCCTATTGTAAATTCGGCCACCGTTTAATATTGTTTTAACGCTTGCAATTTACAAGAGATAATATTTATTTGTCTGTCAATTTATATGAAAAGCCAAGCCTAAGAAAGAGCAAGGCATTTGGTAAGGTTGACGTCTGGATTTCTATATGTCCTTTAAAATAGCACTCAATTACCCTGGAAAATGGAAAAATGAGCGTGCATAGGACAATACAAAGTTTTATTAAATAAATAAAAAACATCTACACTTAAGAGAAAGTTTTAAAGTGTTCAACAACTAAAATGAAATGCCAAGTCAAAAGAAATTAGCAAGCATTTGGTAAGGTTGTCGAAATGATTACTATATGTCCTTTAAAATAGCACTCAATTACCCTGGAAAATGGGCAAATGAGCGTGCATAGGACAACACAAAGTTCTATTAAATAGATGGAGAAATATCTACACTCAAATGAATATATTTTTAATTGTTCAACAACTAAAATGAAATGACGTGCCAAAAGGAATCAGCAAAGCATTTGGTAAGGTTGTCGATATAATTACTCTATGTCCTTTAAAATAGCACTCAATTACCCTGGAAAATGGGCAAATGAGCGTGCATAGGACAACACGTGGTTCTAGAATAAAATTAGAGATAAATATCTCCACGAGAATAAACCGAGTTCGATCGAAGCGAAAAAATCAATGTGCAGTCGGCAGTGAGACCTTAGTTGTTAACCAAAAATAACCCACAATCATCAGGGGTGTATTGTACGAAAATAGTGTTAGGAGTGGTGTTATAAATGTAGCTAAAATATGACAAGAAACGTTAATATTAATTTATCTTAAAAGTATGCTTTAAAATTTAATAAATTATAATTAAGATACAATTTCGAAAAAAAATTATTTTCTGGCAAGTAATATTATTTATTTTTATGCCATTGAGATACGCATTAAATTTTAATTGCATAATATATACATTAATTTTTGTAAGTATGAGATTTGTTTATTCTAAAATTAGAATTATTTATTTTAGCCTAAAAATATGCTTCAGGATTTAAAATTATCTGTTCCGTTGAAAGTAGGTACCTTTCCGATTAAATTTAAAATTAATTAAAGCCGATCTGCTTACAAAATATAGTTTAAAAAATAATCGAACTAGAATGCTTAGAATGCGTATTCCATTTTATAATCTCAGCCATTAAATACCGACTTTTTCGGTTACAAAATTCAAAATTTGGAATATCACCTTTCAGTTTGGCGGTGTATCGTTATTTTAAGATCTGACCACTATGTTTAAGCTGCTGAGTCGACTGAATACTATCAATGCCATGACCCCCAGTTGTAAGCATGCCACCAAGCCACCCGACTCCTCATTCACCAAGCTGATGAAGCCCATGAAGGAGTTTACGCGCGGGAAGATCCCCAAGATCAGTGTGGTGGGCGCTGGGCAGGTGGGCACGGCGATCTGTGCGATGCTGCTGCTCCGTAAACTCACCAAATACCTGGTCGTCCTGGACATCAACTACGAGCTGGCCAAAGCGGAGGCTTTTGACTTCCAGCACGGCTCCGTCTTTTTGGGCGATCCTCGCGTGGTGCCCTGCGGCGATGGTTCCCACTCCAAGGACTCGGATGTGGTTATCATTACGGCCGGGGCAAGGCCCTCTGGTAAGGATCGATCCCGCCTGGACGCGATGCACAAGACCGTGGAAATCCTCAAGGAGGCGGTGCCCAAGCTGGTGGACCTCAGTCCCAAGGCCACCTTCCTGATCGTCTCGAATCCCGCCGATGTGATGACCTACGCCGTGCAGCGGATTGGCAAGCTGCCCCGGCATCGCTGCTTCACCACCGGTTGCCATTTGGAGTCGGCGCGGTTCCGTAATCTCATCGCCGCACGTCTCCGGGTGCCCCCTTCTCAGGTTCAGGGATTCGTGATCGGGGAGCACGGCTCCAGTGCAGTGCCGGTGTGGTCCGCCGTCTCCGTTGGCGGCATCCGGCTGAACGACGTGGTCAAGGACCTGGCCTGTGGCAAGGATCCCGAGAATTGGGCGGAGATCAGTGAGCTGGTCACCACAGTCGGTAGCGCTGTGGGCAAGGTCAAAGGTTACACCAACTGGGCCATCGCCCTCACCTGTGCGGACATCGTGGAGGCGATGTGCAGCGGCAGGGGCAAGATCGCCTCCGTGGGCACCGACATGAAGGGTTTCAATGGCATCAAGGACAACATTGTGCTATCCCTGCCCTGTTTGGTCACAGCCGGAGGCATTAGTCACGTGTTCGAAATGCCCCTCACGGATGTCGAAAAAAAGAAGCTGCACGCCTCTGCTGAGATTCTTCTCGAGGCCCAATGCTCCCTGAAATTTTGAACAATAGATATTCATTTTAATAGTTTCATATGTTTTGTAAATGAACTTAAGTTGAATTCCACTTTAGCCTCGGCAGGATAATATAAACAAAATAAGAGTGAGCGGAAAAGAAATAATATCAAATACTTGAAGCACAAGGGGAAGTAAGATATTTGATAAATACAAAATATTCCGACAACAGTTAGATTCTAAAAACTAAAGGATGAACTTAAAAAGATGAATTTTAAGGTGATGATTGAATAGATGTTGGAATATCTTTCATATTTTTTTGAATGCTCAAAAGTGGGGAAGATTGAATAATGATGGAGTATTAATATAAATATAAGCTAGAGATACACGTATAATCATACAAGATGACCTAAGTATATTGAAAGTAAAGAATGTTACATTATTAAAGTTATCCAGAGAAATATGGACCTAAAATTATACGACTTTCAAAAACTGTGCCTATATGATAGCTTATATATATATCTCGTTGAGGCCCCAGCTAATATATTATTCGTTGAAATAGGTATCCAAAAATAACCACACCCAAATCTCAAGTGGAAAATGAGGAAAAAGAAAGAAGAGAGCGAATAGACAAGCCCTTTGCCCTTTTCACTTTCCTCAAGAGCAAGCGAGACGAACACACATATGTTTTGTAGACAAGCTATAAAAGTGTAAAGATTTAAAGATACTTTTCGGCATTTCTGAGACCCTGTGAATATACATCTAAAATTTTGTAATTTTTCCAAAAATTATGATTAATTTCTTTGTGAGTGGTGACAATTCTTGAGATGTGATTGAGAGTGATCCCCCAAGGTCTTGGGGTAGGTTTGCCAAAGAAAATCGAAAGTCAAAGGTCTTGGAAACGAATAGGTGAGCAGCGAAAATGAGAAAGTGGATGGTGATGAGCCCCAGCGAAGAAATCTCGGGTCCCAAGACGTTTGGGGTCTTAATGCGAAGCATTGCGCAATTTTTGGAGCCAAGGTCTACGATTGTAGCAGGTGCCCATGAAACTCAGCAGCGATTTACGATCGCGTTGCACTCTCCACATTTTTATTTTAATTTCTATTTTCCCATTTCCATTTCCATTTGTATTTTTTTTTTGGGTGGAGATGCAACGAAGCGAATCAAGTGGTTGACCTGGGGTTGCGACACGCCAAGATTATGCAGCATCCCATCTAATAACCACAAGTGTAGCCAAGTGTAACAGTTCACCAGGCGAACAGAAATTGGGCAGGTGGCCCAGTCCAAAGTCGGAGATTTTCAACGCCTCGCTGCATTGTCTGGGAAAATGTTCCGCCACGATTTTCGACTATTGTTGTGGAAAAGGCACGATCGCAGCGGGCCACGCCCACGCAGGCCCTTTCCCTTTTCCATTTTTCTATATTTTGTTTAAATAAATGGAAAATATTTAACACTATTTAGCTGTTTGTTTAGCTAATTGAAATTCACTAGGCGCACAGTGCGTAGAGAAAGTAAGCGCACACGCAGCTAGATTTCCAGCTACCTGACCTACTAAGTTGTTTTCGGAGTTTTTGTTGATTCACTACTTTTCTTCATTTATGTTTCCCTGTTGAAATGCTACAGTTTTTCCCCCAAAATCACGATTACATATTTATTGAGAGAGAGAAACCCCCATGGAGCCTAACGAATTGTATTTGTTTATTGTTTTTTTTGTTTGTTTTGGTTGTGGAAATACGAATAGGTTTACAGAAATTCTAGGCAGAGTGGGAAGGGCTATAAAATGTGTGGAAATTATGACTTTCTGGTGACCTTTTTCGTTTGCTGTTGAAAACTGCGACAGTTTTACATGTGTTTTCGGGGATGCGTGGGCTGATCGTGGTCCATGTGATGATGTACTGACCGCTGTCAGTGTACTTTTAAGTGGGGTTCCCCGCAACTCTGTTCGCCTGTTGAATTGCTACACATTTGCATCGTCAGGTTTTTTTAAGTTGCGTGATGGACCGATCTGTGTATGATCTTCCGCACCATTTGGATTTCCCACAGTGATATCCCACACATGCCATCTTCTATTTTCAATGTGCATCCGAGTGTGACCTTTGAACAGGCGAACAGACAGTGCAGCCTGCATCCGATGCAACCGAGTGCAATGTGAAGATTTTCTCCCACCTCCGAGGGCTTTGGGTTATATTTAACAAATGCATGCGAGTTTTTGGGTTCGTTGCATTTTCGTTTCGGATGCTGGATGCAGTTTTCCGATGCACGATCCCCACCTACTATCAATTTTGTCAGCCTGTTCGACTTGGCCACGCTTCAGTGATCTTCTGAATGGGATTAGTGGAGATTATCTCTAATTGGACACCCATTCATTATTTTTAGAGTTGCGGTTTTGTCTGTTTGAGTTTCTGCTAACCTGTTCTATTGATCTATTTGGTCACGCTTCACTGATTTTTTCTAGAATTGCCCTTTGACCTTTTGAATGCTTATCCAAGTAGGTTTTTCACCAACGTCTTGTATCTGTTATTGATGCTGGCCGGATTGCTTAATCCGTTTGGTCACGACTCAATGATTTTCATGGAAAATTCTGAGGGATTAGAAGGTAGGACAATGCACCCACACTTTGTACTGATTGCCTTCTATAAAGTCTGTTAGCTTGTTCGAATGCTATAGTTTTGTGACCTTTAACTCTTTTTTGGTTCAAAAAGAAAAATACTTACGAACAAAGTTCATTTTATTTGATAGACTCCTTTCCCAATCTTTGTTAGCCTGATATTTTGAGCCAGTTCGTTATGCTTCAATGATTTTTGAGAGGCTGTGTAATTTTATTTAAGAACCAGTTTTCGGCTATTTTCACCTACTATTTGTAAGCCTTACTGAACATGTCCTGCCTACTTTGAAAGCCTGGTGTTTGGATGCACTTGGTTGCACTTCAGTGATTTCCACTTTGGAAATAGGACACCATCTACTCTTTAAATAAGGTGTAAGGATAGGTAAACCTTACTTATATTCTGTGATCCTGTTTAAGTGCTACAGTTTTGCGATCTTTAACACTTTTATTTTTTTGACTTCCAATTCTAAAGATGCCGTCTTAAGATTCCCTTTTTAAAAGGGTTAGGATGGTAAAAACTGAGGCATTGTAATGGGCAAACAAAAAATGAAACAAGATGCAGCGAATCTGAAGATCGTGAAGATCAGGTTTAAGGTGACGGACCCTAAGGAAAAGCAATGGTTCAAACCCTGTAGGTTCTTTTAGGGTTAGAACAGATTTGTAGTGCTTATACAGGTAGTTTTCCAGCATGTATACTGATTGCTATTTATGTTTACCTGATTGATTTTTTGGTCATGGTCACGTTCCATTGGTTTTCATCAGAGGGTGAGAACAATTTCCTTCAATATATTGAACCTATCCTTTATGTAGGAATGAGTTTCTAAGTATCAACAAATGTGATCTTAAAATATTTAGAAAAGGTCACAAAAAAGGTCAAAAAGTTTAGAATTTAACAGGATCTCAGCTGTTGAAAGATAGTAGAATTCATGTAAGAATTAGGATAGATAATATAATGAAAAATTTGGCACAAAAATGGAAAAAGCAATGGGAAATGGTAATGATAGTGTTTGTAGATTTTATTGTGAGTGAAGAGCAAACCAAATCAGAAAAACAGAAGGCCTAGTGATTGTCTGGAATATATGTTTTCCTGTTTCTTTTATACATATAATTGCGTAAACATAATTTGTAATGGACCACTGTAGAATATAATCTATTTGTGCTATATGCGGAGATCTCTTGTGAAGGATCAGGAATTCCTCTGAATACTAAATGACATGTGCTACGATGCAGAAAATAATAATAGGCGAACATCAAATGGTACAATCCTTGTCAAAAGATGCTGTAGGTAAATGCATTTCCCGTGATCTGCCAACAAATTATGTTAGCCTGATATAGTTCACACTCCAGTGCATTTCATTTCAAATTATTTGGTCATCATAGGGGCTCCGATCCAAACGGGGGAGTATTGTGGGCTGACAGTCTCACATCTAAACGAATAACTTTATTTGTGCTTAGACATTACGGGTGAAGTATAATTTTAAAAGAGCAATCACATTTTCCTGAATCCTGTTAAATATGTATTTATGTTACCCTGTACAAGTTTCTGATTTTGGCCACGTTTCATTGGTTAAAAGGAACTACAAATCTTTTCCAGACTTCTGTGGTTGTGTGATTTTTACCCACCCTGATGAAAAGAAAATGTTACAGGTAGTTCGAAAAGGTCTGGACCAAAAGATGCTGATGGGAGTACTCGATGGTAGAATTTTACCTTTACACTACCTGTGCAATATTTGGATATTTTTCCTCATCTGTTGCTGCTGAGGTCCTGTTCGATTGCTACACTTTGTTGACTTTTAACTCTTTTTATTTTGATTTTGAGTTGTTGTATAATCAGACAAGGTGAAAATGTAGGTGCTTGCATTTACAAAACGGGTTAAGATTATAAAAACTGAAGCATTTTAATAGGCGAAAATCACTTGCAGAAAGTTGTTGAAAATACTGGCGACAGGTAAAATTTGAAATGACCTGGAATTCGAATAGTTTGCTGGAAATGCTGAATGCTCGGTGTCTTTTTGCCATTTATAATAACCTGTTCGAAATTTTGATGATTTTCATATAGGATTTCATTTTAAAAATGTAGGCATTCACAGTGGAGCTTCAAAGATATGATATTGACATTTGTTTATCTATTCGTATTTTATGGCCTAAATCATATTTGCAAAAAACTGTTGAAAACTATAGGATTTTAATATGCGAACAAACAAATTATAGAGATGAACCTAAATCTTTTTGAGAACCCAATGACGCAGCATCCAGGATAGTTTTATTGTATTCCATTATGGGCTTTCAGTTTAAAATTTAAATTGTAGCATTCGAATAGGCGAACAAAAAAAGGAACAAGATGATAGGATGTCAAAGGTCAACCCCGAATTCTAGAGGCTGGTATTTTTCAGGTCTAAGCAGCACTATTCTGTGAAGATTTTCTTCGACATCTGGTTACGCTTCTTTAATTTGCATCCAGAAATGACGGTTTTCTTGAGAAAACTCCAAC